GTTCTATGACAATACGTCGGGTTCGTCGCCACAACATAAGCCGCTTGGTTGTTAATACCAATGCGTGGTTTGATTGGGCACTGTGGTGGTAGCATTTCTTGTAGGATGTTGTACTCAGCCATTAATTTCATGCTTGATTCACAAGCAGCTACATACTCAGCCCCTGCTGTCGACAGCGAAATAATCGGTTGACGTCGTGACATCCATACGACGATACGTTCAGTCAAACTGAACGCAATTTCCGTGGTGCCCTTGCGTTGATCGGGGTCATTGGCCCAATCAATATCGCAATATCTTTCAATTGCAATGTTCGCCATCATGTTATCTTTTATCATGCCATAATGTTGTTGAGAACACGTGATGATATCACGCAATGTACCTGATAAACCGCAAAGCCCCTTTCAGTGTTCCAATCTGCTTAGTGTTTGGATAAGCGACGAATCTATTTTGCTAAATAAGTACAAACGCTAAATAGGCCTGGAACTGGTTGTAAGATACATAAAGAGTCCCGATAGTTTCGTAGCAAGGATATTCAGTACCGGCCAGTTGATCGTCATTCGTGTTGTCTCCCATCAGTCGCATTTAACTTCCATGGAACTGCCCACAGCGTGTGCTTATTGTACCTAGATTTACGTAGCATTTCTGTTGCGTACTGTTCTTGACATACTGTGATTCTTGAATAAGCCTGTTTCATTTCGACACTAAAACATTGGGTCAGTAATTCTTGATCTTTGATTCTGTAGGTGTTATTCAAGTCATTGAACAAGTTCTTCTTGTAATCGACATTATTTGTCACGATCAAAGTGTCTTAAGCATAGACCAAGACGTACACGATCATGTATCCGTAAACACAAAAATATAGACATGGCTTGGTTTGTGACCGCTGATAACCATGGTCAAGACACCATTGTTTGAGCTCCAACTTTTGCTCATGTCCTGATTGATGAAGCCCATTCAAGGTCTTCTGAAAAACGTCGACATGTCCATTCACCTTGCACGGATATCCACTTATCGATCGCAGGTACTGATTACGACTGAGTGAGGCATCACGGTATGCGATGTAGATATCCCTATCATACATGTCAATTTCAAGCTTGGCTGCTATAGCATTTAGCAATCAAAACGAAAAATCCTTGCTGCAGGGGCAGAAGTAGTTTGGAATTCGATTCATGGTCGCCTATGGTTCCCTAAAGCCCATTTTGTGCTTTCAATCTGATCACATAGCCTTGTTGATCAGTTTTCACAGCATATACCCACGTTGTATATATCAAGAGTGCTTCCTTTGGTAGCCTAGTACCCTCAGTTTATGCAATCACACCCTTCGATTGAGGTGCAGCTATTTCCTCCAACTCTTCTGCCAGAAAGTATGCTTGCCATTTCTATTGTGGCATTTTCAGGCGACCTGTAAGGAACGTAAAAACGCTCGCACAATTGGTTTATCGCTTCAATCCAAACCTTGCGACAACGTCGGGGGCTATGTTCATTACATAATTATCAAAATACCCTGACTTCTTGCGCTCATGAAGGGTATGCAGTCCGCGTCCTTTTGGCATGAATGCCGTATCGAACAGGATGCCCATCTATTTGGGCATCCTGTTCGATACGGCATTCTTCTGACGGTGTCTCCGAGCAGCAGATGCAGTATGCTATTATGTTATCAGGATGTTCGGTTTTTGCCACTTCATTTCGAATCGAGTATTCTTCTCCATCATCAGGCACCATATCAATACCTGAGACACTAGAAGCTTCTTCGAAACTTGAGTCCAAATTTTCACCCAGATTCATCTCCTCGCCGATATGCTTCGCTACAGTTGACCCGCAGCTACCAAGTACGAATTGTTCATCATCGCCAAATGCATCGTGCCTAAAGCTTGCATCAGTTTCAGATCACTCATCCTCCACTAAATGGTCAGTTTTATAGAAGCATCCGTTGTGGCTTGTGCGGAATCCTCGATGTCACGAGTCGCTTCGAAGTTGCTTAGCGCGCTTATCATATCACCTTCAGCGGCTGTACTTTGTTCTTTATCATCGTGATCAAAGTGGGGCAAAGAAAAATCATCTCCTTCCACTTCTGCAACATTTCAATTGCGATAGACGAGTTCTCAGTAACACGTACGTCCGAGACAAATTTGGCGATGTGTTCATCAGAAAAACATACTTTGCACCAAAGTACATCATCTGTGTATCCAACAACAAAACCAATTTTGACATCTACATAAGTTACTCACGTCCTCGTGATGATGGCATATGCGCACATGCAAGATACCCGAATGTTTTGATTGGTGGATGTCAGGCTTAGCTCCAAACATCATCTTGTACGACATTCTTTACGTGCTCTTGTTGCAAACTCGGTTCCAACGTATAACGCATCTCGCATAGCTTCAGGCCATAGAATTCGTAGAAATTCTGCATGGGACATAGTCGATTTCCTCATGCCTTCGATCGACTGATGTGTTCTCTTGCACAGGCTCAGCTGCGAGCTTTCAGACCCAACTTTAATGTACACGAAAACGTTCGAGCCATGCCAAGCCTTGATCGCATCATTACAAAAGTTGCCACCTTTTTTGCTGAGCACTTGCTTCACAATGTGTGACCAATTGCTGGTGTGCTGACCGGCTTAACGTTCCGCTCATTGAACGTATTCTTGCATATTCTTATCGATGATCTTGCTGTCCATTCTTGTGAGCAACTTTATGGTTATAAACCTCGAGTAACCGTCCATACCATCAGGATGCCACATGCTTACTCAAAATAGACTGTCTAGGTGCACGTAAATCCGCATACACCACTCGATTCGGTTCATTTTTCGCGCGATCAAGCTTTTTCCAATGCTTTTTTCGATTCTGTTTTCCTAAATGACATGCATCACACGTGCTGTGCTGTCATTTTTCAAGCAACGTATCCCGTTCCAGCCCTTTATCCACCATGATTTCAGCTAGTGTGGACAGGTATGACAAAGTCTCTCATGCCAAAGTTGCAATGATCCTACTCCTTTGGACATCGTTCAGTTGCACATCGCTTTGCCCTGTGACACCTTACCCTTTCACTAGGAGTAGAATTCCCTCAGAACCTTTATTAGCGTCTTGAAGCCTACCCACAGCCACCACCCGGTCTACTAATAAGATAGTAAAAGCTTGCGTGATTCATCATGTTTGAATGTAAACCCGGTCAAAAAAAAATGCAAGGCCTCGAGAGAATAACCCATATTTTGCTCAAGAAACATAGAAGACATTTCCAGGAAATCACCATCGTTTTTCCTTCCACTTCGGTTATGGATCCTACTTTATCTGTACAGGTAATACGTGATAAAATATTTGGCGCCACGCCACGAATGATCTGCACATTTGAATCAAACGCTGATAACCTATAAAAGAGATATATTTACGGTAACGTGTGAGCGTTGAATCAAATACTACATGCTTCCATCTCACCCATAGCATATCTGTGGCCAAAATCTGGTACAAATTCTACATCTCTAGTTCCATTAGTTACGCAGAGCAGCTAGCGCACTAGCAACACCACTATCAATGAAAAATTTGTGCATGACGGGATTCTTCTTCACACTCTAGTGTGCTGGGTTTGGACCTATCCTCCCGAGGTAGCATAGTACTTAATTTGACTTTGCGCATAGACATTCTTTCGTTCACCCCCCGTACCAATATTTTATAGAATTGCTCCAAACTACGTGAAAAAGTATGAGTATTTCGGTTCATCTGATGAAAAGCAAGTCATTGCGCAATACTGGGATGAAGTAAGCGTCCTTATAACACAATATAGCTTGATCTGCCATGGATTCTGATTTCTATACGACGCTACCGCACGAGCACACTTAAAATGGGATCATCTGCACACGTGCTCATCAAGTAGTATGAAGTGTCACTTACAGACTTGGTGGCTAGCACCAGAGTCTACATCCAATCTCATTCTACTTGGAGGTTATTGATTACTGTTCAGCATACGGCGTACTGTATCTCATCTTCTTTGACGTTTTCTTTCGCTTGGTCTGGAAATACCAATTTTGCAATGCCCTTCCTCTTCTCCGCGATAAAATCTTTCTTCAATTATCTGGATGAGGATATGTGAAATTCAACTTCAAAGAAGTAGCACGCACTCTTGTTCGTATTTCTAACTCTTCCTGCGTGTGAGCCTCGCCAATTTCTTGTATCATAATAATTTTTTACGAGCTTTTGCTTCCCCCTCTCTGCTGATCATGCTGTCTAAACTGCGTTTCTTGGCTTGCGGATGTATATTTGCCACTAACCGCGATGATCCTTATCTGTTGTATTGCTTCCGAAGCTTAAACCGACCTCAGAGCTTTCCTGGTCGATCTCGGCAACTAATCTTTTACTATTTAATGAAAAGATTAAAACAAAGTTTTTTTTACAAATTATCTTGCTTGCGACTTCATCATACGGCTCGCCACACATCGCATACAAACAACATGAGACGTCCATGTAATAAGGCACCCTTTGTTTGGGGTGCCGCGAAACTTCACGTACACTAGTAAGTGCAGAGGAAGCTGATCCACTCAACAACTAGGTTGAGTAAAGGGTAAAAAGAGAACTGTATTTAAGATAGTTAAGCTATCAATATAACTCTAATCTTTATCTAACTCTATTAAACGACGTCTTCGTATGACGATAACATGCTCACCACTCATTGCGCGCGTCTAGCAGCGATTGGTGGCAATCTATGGTTGCTATGTATTTTATCAGCTAATCTTTGAGCAGCGCATGAATATTATCCTAAAAGGGGATAATATTCCTTCAATATTATTCATCTCGGATAATATCGGTAGGACATTGTCATGCTATCCATTATCTTTATTGACACCGTTTGATGTCAAAATCATCAAACGGGCTACCCTGTTACATCCCCCCCTTAACCATCAATCACCCGTTGATTGAATAGAATTGATTGGAACAGGGTGACCACCAATGGATCAATCTGGGAAGGGGAGAACTTGTTGGTCAAATTCCATTCATTTGCCAATACAACGCATGGTTTCAAAACCCAAGCGATTTGCTACTTCAGCAGCAAGAAAGGCAGCTGCACGCGTGCGTGTAGCCGGAGAGAGTACTTCTCACACCTCAGCAGCAGATGATTCGTCGCCTGCTTCTGTGAACAGTTCATGTGGTGAGTCACCACGTGCGACATGTACATCTGCTGCGTCTGCAGCGGGTACCGCGAATCGTAATCCAGATGAGTCTGAAATAGAGCTCATCTATTCTGGCGAGTCGGATGATGTATTCGACTCGAAGGCGACACCTCACGCTTCCGGATCACCCGGGGCGGACACTGCAAGAGACAGGTTGACTGGCTCTGGTCTACGTGGCGGCATCATGCTCGATATCTTCGGATCGAGCGATTGTTCCGACGAATCCTCTCCTCACGCGAGTCCATTCCACAATACGACGCGTGTGGAGGGTGTTGATACACTCATACATCACCACGAGGAAAGCAACTCGAGGGATCGAGCTGTCACTGGTGTCAGTGCTCATGCTGACACAAATTAAGAAGTTAGGGACCTAATAGTCGTGCGAAGCTCTTCAATTGTATTCTCCATGAATGCCGTCATCCAAAGATTTGGACCGGTTGGCCGGCATGACTACCGATCGAAATCGAATCCCGTTGTTCGATTGCAGGAAGGTTTGCCCACCAAATTTCAGCACGTAAACTATCCGTGCCGAGGAAGAATTCTTCACCGGTGCGTTTTTCAAACATCGGTGGTACAATGGCAGCCGTGTTCGAGACGGAAAGGCCTTTGCGCAAGGATGGAATGCCCTCATCCATAACATCGAGCGCATTGGCCATGAGAACTGGCTCGGTAAACTTGGTGCAGCTCGCAATAAGTTTGGGAAACGCAACCCAGTCGGGGCACGATACAAGTTGCACCGGCTGTCAAAAGAGGCAGTATTACCCTGTCTTTCGTAGGATGATTCGTGTCCAGGTTGCCTGGACAACTCGAACCGTGCCCCTAGGGAGGCCTTCTCCCTAATGATCCCTACTGGAGGGCGCGCATCTCTTCCGAGATGGCCGAAGGGATCGAATCTTTGCAATCCCTGTACTCGCGTTCGGGGAGGTCATTTTCCGACGGCCATTCTTAGAACGCAGCGGGTGGGTCTCGTCGTACTGCTCGACGAGACCAAGGAAATCAACAATCAGATGGTCACGAGGCTCCCAGCTGTCCCACACAGGTGGGTAGCCACGCCAGCGGACGAAATAACTCATCCGGACGCCATTGACATCGCGGTGGTTAAAAAAAACGCTCCACTAGGAAGCGTTGACCACCGCTTGAGTCCACCAAATGATGTGGAGGCGGCAGAACACCTAATCTGGCTCGATGGTCGGATCAGCTCGATGTTCAGGAGCTGAACCGTGTAACGTAACTGTTGCAAGATGACCTGGCTCATGAACGGACTCGGCGTTATGGGCTTGAGGATCTTTTAAGGTATAGTTACAATTCCTTAACGCACGATCGTTCGGACTATCGTGCTGCGTTTGCGTTTGCACAACTTGAGAATGAACGTTCGACTCGTTCTCTTTGTGACGAGCTGACTGCAGCTCGTCAGGACATCACTCAACTGCGTGAGTAGGTCGCTTCGCTAGTCGACCAGACTGGATCGTTGAAACGGGACCACTCGAAGGTGGTATCGGCTCTCGACCGCGGAGGTGTTCTTCGCATCTCGAAAACAAGCTCGTACTGATAGTACGGGCGGAGACGTCCAACGTAAAACGTAGGATGCGTGCGCATCTTACGGGGCAGTTCAATCGTGTATGCGTTGCCCATTCGGCGCGACAAACGAAATGGACCAATATACTTGGGCAGTAGTTAACTGCTGACCACGTTTGTCACTGCGTGAATCGGTAGATTTACAGTAGACAGTAAAACTAAATCTCCTTCATAAAATGAAAGAACAATTGCTCTTCCATGTTTGTCTGCGTTTCGTTTCTGTCTGTCTAGTGAATATGCAATAGAGTCTTGAACGAAGCGGACAACCGCTTCGCGAGTCAGCAGAAATTCCTCTGCTGATTTATCCTTGTCAACAGCAGTGCGCTTCGTGCGCACTGCTGAAAGAACATTGTCTTCACCAGTGAGGGTATCATCGTCCTCGCTTTGGCGTTCATTGACGACGATGAATATATCAGCATCGTCGTCATCATCATCATCGATGTCGATCGAATCGACATCGGCATCCATCACGACTACATCATTGTCGATGTGTGATGAGCAGGAACCAGATTGATTTTTGTTCGAGCGAGCCCCCCCCCTTAGACTAGATTCACACTCTAAGAAGGTGGGTAAATGTGGATGACATAGGCCATTCACGAAGAACGGCGTATGCGTTGTAGACGCGTGCACCGAGTTGTTGATGGCGATTTCCGCCATCGGCAAGAACTTACTCCAGCTCGTAAACGAGTGGGCATACCCTCGAAGTATCTCTTCGAGAACGCGGTTCACGCATTCCGTTTGACCATCTGTTTCGGGATTGTCAGAAGTTGACATCTTCGAATGTGTTATAAGGTAACGGGAGACGGATTGCCAGAGCTTCACTATGAAGCGGGGGTCCATATCAGACACGAGTTCATGGGGTAACCCGTGAAGTCGGAAGATAGTATCGATGAAGACACGAGCACAGCCCTGGGCTGTGATTGACTCCGGTCGCAACAAGATGTACCATCTTGCTGAACCGATCAACAAACACAAGAATGTCAGTATTCTTGTGAGCGTCTTTGGGAAAGTCGAAGACGAAGTCCGTCGATACGGACTGCCAACACTCTGCTGGAATCGGGAGAGGCTGCAAGGGAGCGCGGGATGAAGGACTAGGATTCACCCGTTGACAAACTTCGCAAGCGCGAATGTATTTGCGCACAAACTCATACTGGCGGGGCCAGTAGAAGTCACGACTCACCGTGAAGTAAGTATTTTCCCTACCGCAATGCCCACTTGTTGGGGCACCGTGACACTCATACGTGATGCGCTATCGCAAATCATTATGAGTGGGAACGACGACACGAGGTGTGTCGTTGTTGACTGCTGTATAGTACAGCAGTACATCAAGTGCTGAATACCGTTCGGTTAAAGAGCGGTATTAAGACGTCAAGCATTTCAAAGCATGATTGCATGGATTGGATACGTAATCCATCAATCGCAGAAGAGAATTATCTTCTGAGTATGCTATCCGCAAGTCGTCGAGCGATTTCGACGACGGAACACTCACTGTTAGTGTCGCTACAGTGGGATCAACCCTTCTGTTGTGTTGAGCAGTCGGCTCGAAATCGGGCTGACGCGAAATAGTATCATCGACGACATTAAGTCGTCCTGTTTATACTCTATGGAGAAGTTGCACTCCACGAAGAAAGACAGCCACCTCGACATTCGGTGCGAAAGTTGTGGACTGTTTACGGCCGTGCGTAACGATGCATGGTCGGTATAAACGATGAAGGGCCTATCTCCTAAGAGATATACCCGAAACTTAGCCAGTGCATATTTCATGGCAAGGAGTTCCTTGTCATGCACCGGGTAATTACGCTCAGCTGCTTGCAGCTGACGCGACTGATAACAGACGACGCGCTCAACGTCGTCTGAGTCGTACTGCATTAATGCGTAGCAGATTGCGAAATTGCTGGCATCACAGACCACGTGGAATAGTCTGTCCTGGTCTGCAATCGCCAACACAGCCGATTGCATTAAGATTTTCTTGATGCCTTTAGAGGAGTGCTGACACTCAGCGCTCCATGACCACCTCTCGTTTTTCTTTAGCAGACGAGAGAGATGTACGGTCGTCTCGGCGTAGTTGCGCGAGTACTTGTGCAAGTACGCCACCAAGCCAAAGAACTTTCGAAGTCCCTTGACGTCGACTAACACAGGCCAGTCGCTGATCGCCTTGATGTTTTCCGGATCAGGGCACACACCGTTTTAACCCACGGTGCATCCAAGAAGTGGTATCTTGTCCGCTGCGAATATACACTTCTTGAGGTCCGCGAACAACTTATGCTCTCGCATTAGTGTAAGAACCTTCCGGACGTGGATTCTATTCCGTCTTTCCATCCATATCCCGGCTATGGACGAGGATATCGTCGAAGCAACTAGGTGCAAAATCGCGCACCGATTGCAACAGGTTCGTAACACATCTGTTGAACATTGCAGGGGCGTTACTTAGCCCCTGTGGCATCACTAGACACTCTTAGAGCATACCACTGGGGGTGCTTACTGCTGTGTACGGGATGTCCCGTTCACGCATGAGGATCTGATAGAATCCATCCATCAGATCCATGGACGAAGAGATGGTACTTTTTGCCATACCATCTTTGATGACATCCTTTCTTGGGATCGGCGTTTGAGCCGGCATCGTTGCAGCGTTCAATTTGTTGAACGCGTGCACTATCCGTCACACTCCTGTGGCCTTTAGCACACAGAAGGTCGGAGAGCTATGTGGGGAAGTTGGTTCCCTCACATGACCAGCCGCTAAACGATCGGCAAAGAATTTGTCGATCGCTGTGACCTGTTCACGAGGCAGTGTCCACTGCTTCATGTCACATTATTTCGAACCGGGTTTCAGTTCGATCTCATGCCGAGTTCTTTTGTCCTTGGGCAGCTCGCATGGCACGGATTCAGGGAAAACATCCCTGACTTCAACCAAATCCTCATACAAAGGGTTTGTATTCAAAGACTAACAAGATTGAGACGTGTATCGCTCAATCCGGGTCTTCTAATCGAGGACACTCTCGTCCATCGATGAGCTACTGAGAACTTATTCGTTCTCAGCAAACACTTGTGCCAACCGAATATCGGCGACGTACTCGTTCCCTGTGACAAGTAGGCAGATTTGCTTGATCGTGTCACTACGCAGATCTCGCAAGAATCTTTTAGATTTTAGCATTGGCAACTTGACTACCTCCGAAGCTGACTTCAGAGGTGTAACCAGATCAAGTGTGTAAGCGCCTACACTTGATCCGTCATTCAACAATACATTCACTGTCTCGGTTACTTCCTCGGAAAACACATCCGCAGGTGGGTTGGGGATCCACACCCTCAGCATAACTCTCTCGGGAGTTATCACTCTCAGGAACGCTGGAACTTCCTTCCAGTACGCGTACTGACTGTACGTGCACTATCAAAGTCATATCCTCTTCTATCGACTCTCTTTTTGTCAATCGTGTTTGCCTTACATCGACTCTCTTTTTGTCTATCTTGCTTCAACTTGTTGTTTATCATGGACAACACACGTCTCTCTTTTTGGATGCAACCTTCTTGGTGTGCATTTGTGTTCCAGTCCACTCGATCTCTTCGAGTGGCGAACCTTCGGCGCAGCCTGTGTCTCTACACAGGTGCCGGAAGCTGGTTCCACAGTGTACTGGACTTCTACACTGTGATCTTGTGCAGTCATACTAACGACCGTACCACAAGTTAGGCCATCGCACTCACTAGTAGTACATCCACACGCCTGTGGCAGCTCCAAGACGTTCATCAGATGGCCATCTGATGAACAAACGGCAGGCATCTTCACGGGTC